GTGATCGGTCCAGATGTGCAGTGTCTAATTTTAGACTACTCCAAGACCATAGAGCTTCAAAAGAAGCGTGGGGTGTACTGGCTGCCGGTGCAAAGCGATGAAAGCAAAGACACCGAACCCACGGTGTTGGCAGCAACCAAGGCAGCAAAGAAAGTGGTGCCAGCAGAGGCCATGAGCCTCGAAGAGGGTGCGGGAGGAACCGCCCCGGACCAAGCTACGGATGGAATCGCGCTTGAAAATCCACCAAAGGAAGACTCGGGAGGCCCAGCTAGGTCAAGCTCCAGCAGGGGTCCAGAGAACCCGATCCAAGCGGCGGATAGACCCGCGCTTGGAAATCCACCAGAGGAAGACTCGGAGGCACAGCGCAAGACCAGATCGAAGCGCATCCCAGACCTGGTATCCGAGCAGGAGTACAGGGATCCCATGATGACTCACCTCCCGTTTCGCTCCTGGTGCGACCACTGTGTCGCTGGAAAGTCCAGGGAGGACTCTCACCCGTTGCGAGAGGCACGGAAGTGTAAGGGCGAGGTCCCCCGTTTCTGCGTAGACTATGCCTTTTTAGGCAGATCGCTGAAGGGCGAGATGCCTAAGACGGCAGAGGCCTTGAAAGAACCCCTTGACACGGAGGACGCCCAACGACCAATACTGGTCATGGTGGATCAGGAAACGGGAGCGACCTTCTCCTACTTGGTCACAAAGGGGGTCAACAACTACGCCGTTCATGTTATGAACGAGGCCCTCAAGTTTGCGGGAAGACAAAGGGTGATCATCATGTCGGACGGTGAGCCCGCGATCCGAGCCCTGGTGGATACGGTGGCCAGACAGGCCGGAAGGGAAACTCAGGTGCAGCACGCACCAAAGCAAACACATGGACCCAGTAACGGGGCAGCCGAACGAGCTATCCTAGAAGTGGCCAGGCAGGCCAGGACGCTGGTCCATGCCCTCGAGACACGTTACCCTGGATATCAACTCAAGGGTGACAACGAGGTGTTTCCGTAGGTGATTCGTCACAGTGGTTGGCTTATCACCCGGTTCCTGATCAAGGCTGATGGAAAGACGCCCTATGAACGGCTGAAAGGTCGAGAATATAAGGACGAGATAATGGATCCACTGGAAACTATCCACTACAAGATCGACAAGGATCAAAGGGGCAAGCTGGATGCCCAAACTTCCATTGGCATTTGGTTGGGCAAGACCCTCAGTACAGATGAGCACGTTATGGGAACTCCGTAGGGCATCCGAAAATGCCGCTCGGTCTGGAGGAGACCGGAGCCCAGGAGATGGGAAAAGCACCGCTTAGAGGCGGTGACGGGCACACCCTGGCAGCCCAAGGGCCAGGCGTTGGTAGTACCGGGTGACAACAAGCCGCTCACCCTGCCAGATGGACGCAAGGGGAGATCTGCAGGAGAAGTGAAGCCACACAGCCCAGAGTGCAGGAAGAGGTTCAGTGAACTCTACCCTCGAGAGGCCGCAGGCTACAGCACAGAGCCGGGCGAAGAGGGGGCACAGACTGTGGAGGGGGATGCAATGGTCATCTCCGGGGCTGGTGCTTCCGGCGCGGGAGGCCCCGCCCAGGAAGGTGAGCCTCAGGGATCGGGAGGAACCGACTCTGTGCAAAGCCGCAAGGACCTCAAGAAGCAGTTGGCCGACAAGGCAAGGGGGCGGAGAGAAGCCGCGCAGCAAACACAGGAAGAGCCTAAGAGGTTCAGGCTTACACAGAAGGGCTCCAAGAGAACTGCAGAGGTTCCTGTGGAAGAAGTGGTTGCTGAAGCAGCCGCATAAGAGGTGATAGGAGGCCTCCCCGCTCTTCATGAGGAGACGCTGCTTGCAGCTTATCCTGAAGATGGGCTGCTGGAGAGCCAGGGTGCGTTTGACGAACGCACAGGGGAGGCGCTTCCTGTTGAAAAGGTCAAGAAAGCGCGTGGCCGTGAGCTTGACAAGATGCTAGAGCACAACGTCAAGGAGGACATCACCTGGGAAGAGGCGAAAAGCCGAAGACTCAAAATAGTCAAGAGCAGATGGGTAGATGGCTGGAAGCCACTCCCAGATGACCCCCAGGGTGTCCGGAGTCGGTGTGTGGCTCAGGAAGTCAACGTGAGCCAACGGGATGACGTGGCATCCGGGACGCCTCCGTTGAAGGCCCGCCGGATGAACCTGTCCCACGCGGCTACCAAGGCTCCAGGCGCGCGTGCTAACAAGAAGCTTATCGCCAGATACGACGTATCAGTGGCATTCTTCCATGCAGAATCAATAGGGAAGATTGCTGTGGTTCCATCAAAGGACTTAGACCAGAGTCGCTTGTGGTTCCTGAACAAGGCGATAAATGGAACGAGGGAAGTGTCCAAGCAATGGACAGCAAAGATCCTCAAGAACAAGAAGAAATGGGGATTCTTGGAGATAGAATCCGTGCCAGGACTTTTCTATCATCCTGTCCATGACATCATGGTGGGCTGCCATGGGGACGACTTCCTGGCTTCGGGCGAGAAGCCAGCCTTGGAGTTTTTGGACGGCCTCATGCTCGAAGAGTATGAGGTAAAGATCCTCCCCAAGTTGGGGCCGCCAGAGGCGGGGAGTGCTCCGAGGGCACCCATCTGCATCGGAAGCTTACCTGGAGCAGGGAAGGCTACACGTGGGAGGCAGATGGAAAGTACGCAAGACTCCTCACACAGGAGATCAACCTTGAAGGCGGAAAAGGGGTTGACACCCCAGCCTCCAAGGAGACAAGAAAGAACGACAGGTTTGCGGAGGAGGAGCTGTCGCCTGAGGAGGCCAGTGAATTTCGAAGGCTCGCAGGGACAGCGCTGTATTTGAGTCTTGACCGGCCCACGATACAGTTTGCAAAAAGCGACATTACTGCAGGAATGGCCAAGCCGCGTCGCATTCACATGCACCGGCTCAAGCGCCTAGCCCGCTACCTACTCAAATTTCCGTCGGAGATGTGGATCTACAAGTACCAGGAGGCCCCAAGGGAGCTAGTTGTTTATACTGACTCCGATTGGGCACAGGACCCAAAGACGAGAAAGAGTATGAGCGGATATGCGGAGATATTCGGGTCCCACATGATTGAGACCAGCTGTGCAAGGCAGTCAACAGTTGCCTTATCAAGCGGGGAGGCAGAGTACTATGCCTTGACCCGTGGTATGGCCGCAGGCCGCATATCGCAACAGATCTGGGAGATCATTGGCTACAAGCTTCCGCTAGTGGCCAAGACTGATTCGACAGGCATTGCCCAACGAAAGGGCG